CCAGAGCACAACCTCAGCCATCTCTTGAGTGTATCCAGAGTCTTACCTTTGGAAGGGAAGAGGTTTCCAGGTCCACACTGGCCACTCCCACGTGTAAGGCCTGTAAATGGAGCACTGGTGTAGACTCCCCAGCCTGCGTACTGGGGATCTGTTGGGGCTGGAGCTCAGTGGGTAGAACTAATGTGGGGGGAGTGATGTTAGAGTGCGCCTTTGCCGATGATGGAGATGGAGATGGAGGAGGTGATGATAGATGATGATGATGATGATGATGATGATGGCGGCAGGGAGAGGATGGAAAGAAGCAAGTCTCCTGTTTGTTATACATTGTGCCCCCTGTGGCCTTTGGCTGGAGTGTGCTGCAGTAGTTGTCGGAGTGAAGCCCTGAGGAGCAAAGGAAATGAGTCTCACCCACCCACTCGTACAACCACCATCTCTACTAGCAGCTGCCCGTCACGACACAGTTGGACAGAGTGGGCACCGGGTGGAGGTGGAGGTGGAGGTGAGGGACACACAGGAGGGTTGCCACTGGTACAGTATATCAAACACAGCGAGGATGGGGGAAGAGAGAAACATTCAGCCAAGAGGAAAGGGTTATGGCTTCTTTTCTTCTCTCTCTCCCTCTCTCTCTCTCTCTCTCTCTGCTTCTTCCTTCCTCTGCTCTCCTTATTCCACCCACACGCATGAGAAGAGAATAAGACTTTTGTGTGTGCGTGTGTTTTGTGTGTGTATTCTGAATGTGAGAGAGTAGAACGCACAGTAAAAGGACCAAAGGATTCACAGTAGTACACAGAAGGATAGGGTTTATAAAAAAAAAAAGGGGGGAAACACAACAATATAAGGGCGTTCACATACCAAGAGTATTTCTGCATCTTAAAATGTGTATTAGCATATGACACCGCGAGTGTCTGCGCTTTTCTTATCACACATACATATATATATATAAAATATATTGAAGCTCTCTCTCTCTCTCTCTCTTTCTCAGTCTCCTGTCTTATCTCTCTCTCTCTCTCTCTCTCTGTGTCTGTGTGTAGGTGGTATTTCGTTGATATGTCCAGAGTTATGCAGGGGGTCGGCCATTCGCTGCCCTTCTCGCCACAGTAAACAGAAACCGCAAAAGCACGAGGTTTGACTGTGCTAAGATTTTTTGGAATGGTAAACTATCACATCCCACAGTCCCCACTCCCACAGACTGCCAGTGCGCGGACACATTTTCAACTCCCACATTCTTCTCCTTCATTTTTTCCTATTAGAAAACAACTGTGGGGGAAAACGGAGATGAAAGGAAATAAATGACAAAATCGTTGACAAATACTCTGCATGTACATCAATTAGTTGTTTAATTCTTCCTAACGAAGAGACAATATAGAAGTGGCTAAATCGAATTCACTAAAAAAATAATATAAATGAAGCAAAATGTATTTATTCTTCATTGCTTGGTTTTGTAATTTGTTTGTTACTAAAAATCATAATTATGGCCATCTGGGATTTCTGTTTCTGTTCTTTGTTGATATAAACTTTTTTTTTTACTCTGTGGACTTTAGGGGGGTTTTGTACCATTGCATTCAAATGTACGTTGAAAATGCTAATTTTTCCAAGCTTCCTTCATTAACAACATGATGGCCCGGGCAATCCCCGAAAGAACACACATCCCCGTGCACATTACTCTTACATTACAGTCCATCTAGCCAACAAAAACCAAACACAACATCAAACCCTCTCTCTGTACTCCCCACCATACGCTATGCTCCTATTCAAAATAAATTCAAAATAAAATGTTAAACTTGACCCCACTTATGTGTATATTAAATAAAAAAACTAACTATGTTCTCTCATAAAAACACAAAGTGCATTTAAGTCAACTGCTGGATCAGTTCTCGTGTGCGCTGCTTTACTCCCGCATCCAGCTAATGATCGGTATGACGCGGATCAAGTCCAGATGAACTGAATAGATCTCAGTGAAAAGTGTGCTGACAGACTCCATGAGTGGACTTCTCATTGTTTTCACTCACTGTGGTCCGTCTCAAGGCGGAATACATGTGCATATAGGTCGAAGGAGTCGAGGGAGTAATGGTGAATGAGTTGAACTACGTATGGTGAACCGTCCAGGGAAATGGAGTAAAAGTATACAAAAGAGATGATGAAAAGGTTACAGGTAAGGTGGAATGGATGAAAGCGAAGATCTACAAGACAAGTTAAGGTGGAGCGGTTTGAAGAAGATGGAATTAGAGAGGTGAGGTGAAGATGGTTTGTACACGAGTTACAGAGGACTGCTGGAATTATCGGACAAAGGTCGTAGACATGGAGTTGCCAGACAAGAGGAGCAAAAGGAAGACCTTAGAAGAGTCCCGTGGCTGAGAATATGGAGATGGTTCGTGTAACAGCTGAATAGGCAAGGACTAGTGTGAGATGGAGGCAGATGATCTGCAGCAAAAAGAAGAAGAATAGCTCCTCTATTACATTATATTGCTCGCATTGTAAATTCTACAGGTGTCCTTCACCTTAAATGTATCTGTCGAATGAACACTGAATCTATTATTAAGTTAGACGTCGTCCGTAACAATGAGGTAACAGCTAATGAGATGGTTCAGTTTTAGTCTGCACACAAAGCTCTTAAATGCCACCCACCAGTACTGGGGGTATAAATGAAAGAGAGAACACATTAAAGCTGGGTCACGTCCTTTTCTTCATTTAAGCACGTTTTAGCCAAAGAAACTCAAGAATCTTAGCAAAAAGCTTGCTCAAAAAACCAACAAACAAACAAACAAACACATACCAAGGCACAGGTAGATAAACTACAAAAACTGAACCCGACTTGTTGAGCCCACCAAGTTCCATCCAAGATTCATTCACTGCTCTAGAAGCATAAGATCAAAGTCACACTTCAATTAAAAAAATATATATTTTGAGAATTTTTTTACAAATATGCCTCAAAATCATTATGCAATCGCTGAACAACTCGATCTCCCACTGTGGTTCAATTATTATGACGTGAAAACTGAGTTCAATTTTGCCTCCTTTGAAATGCTGATTGGTGGATTTAAACATTGATGACATTAACCTGACGATATTAATGGGATTTTATAGCATAAAATTAGTCTAACTTTTAAGTTTACTTTCTAGAATGGCATTGGTTTATTTACAAAACATGTACGGTTACTCATGGGCCTGTCAGAATCATGGCTAACATTTGGTCAATTTGACATTGCTAATCAATTACAGTTAGTGACTATCCCAAAAAAACAAAAACAAACATGTAATAAGCATTTTGCATATAATAGTTAAAGACTAAGTAAAAAAAAAACTGAATTCCAAATTTTATTTCATGCTATTTATACCATTGATATCCTTAAACCGTTCCTAGCAAAACATACAAGTCAAAACCAGTCAAACTATTTTTTTCTGCCTATCTACCTCGACATCCACTGCTTTACTGCTGAGGCCGCACATGTGTCTGATGTTGGAGTTCATACGGGACGGTGAGTGGTGCCGGGGAGGAGGAGTGTTCGTTTGGGCGTGATTGGACGTGTCAGTGTGGTCAGAAGATCTGGTGTTTAATTGGTGTCACTGCAAGGGCTGCTCAATATGAAAGGGAGGGACAAAGTCTCACTTTTACACTCTAGAGCTTTCTCGGTTTTTGCAAGTTAATGTTTCAATGCATTTGTGAACTTCTTAAAAAGTAACAATGTACATACAAACCACCCCCCCCCCCCCCCCCCAAAACAAATACTGGACTTTGATAGCAATACTAATTAACAGCAATGTGATACCTTATCTTGGGTAATAGTTTGATTAAGTTTGACGAGGTCTCCATAGACCAGTTTCCTTTGATACCCTTTTGTGAACCATTAGAGACCTTTTCAACGATTAGTCAAACACAATCTTCACTTGTAAAAACCTAATAAATTTTACCAAACCACTACGCAACCATGGAGCCACGGAGAAACTCATGTTACACCACAGGACAGCGAGAAAGATATCTCCCTCTAGTGTCTTCACGTACACCAGAGGAAAAAATCCAGATTTTTTTCCGTACAATATTATTAGGTTGAAATGAGGTGTTTTTGCTGCCTGAGCACGAGTTTGCGTTACGACGAGTGTAATGAACAGTCAAAGGCACTTACAGGTTAGGGTGTGTCCTCCTTTGGGCAGGTACTCATAGAGCAAGTGGTTATCATCTCCCAGCATCTCCGCCCGCAGTGACAGCAGACTGTTCTTACTCATCAGCGCTGCCTTCAGATTGGCTACCGACGAAACCGTTTCATCATCAACTCCTCCCGCGTGCTCCTCTGATTCATTGGTGCCCATGAAGCCGGGTTCTAGAATGACAGCCTCCTCCTGTTTGAGGAAGAAGTCGAGACGATCGTCGCGGCCGTCCGGGATCCTCGGTTCGATCCCTGAGCAAAAGAGGG